ATAGAAATATTTGTTTGTTTATTGGACCTTTTTACGTGGGTTTCATTAAATGGTTCATATTTAAAATCACCTTTATCACAAGAGCCTGATGAAACATCCTTTTTCTTCATACAACTTCTTAGAAACAGTTAGCTAATTGGGTTTTATCTATCATTCGTAATAATTTCTAACAAATCCATTAATTCATGACACAGTTCCTCAAAATAAAAATCATCTTCACTTCCACTGAATTTAGACATTATCCAATCTTAACTCACACCACAATCATCGCACAATTCGGAAGGTCCAACCTCTAATTCACCCATCACCGCACCACTTTAATCACCCAGTATCCTTAACCCACCCAGTATCCTTTACATTTCCATATCTGTCCCAACACACGTCTGCGCGCGCACCTTAAGATTTTAATGAGCAGACCTGCGCCTGCGCTGCACACGATTGTGTTCAGCTACTGTACACACGCGACGTTGCATGACCTCACTCTTTTTCTTCTCGTTCGTTATTAACGTTTTTATGGACCCGATGGCGATTATTGAGAATTAAAAAATGAGTTTCCATTGACGCCCAATTTCGCCAAGCTTGGTCTGACTGCTTATAAACTTTGGAAACGTTATTTTTCAAAACGACTCCACAAAGAATTTCAATGATGACACTTTATGATATTAATAAATGGATACCGACAGTCCACAACTCATCCTCACTGAGTCTCCACCCACGGAACTTGCTTACATAATTAATTATTTAACCATTTTTAAACAGGATAACGCATAGTCTATTAAAAGGTAATGAAATATTCATACGGTGGCACGTATTACGAAGTATGACAGACAAAATTTGCCTACAATAAGAGTGGATAGTTATTAGCGATGGATATTTTTAGACCAAAGTGTTAGGTCACATGACTACGACTAGTGATGAGTTATAAGTGATTAACCCGAATTCATTTGGCATTTGAATGGAGCGAGCGACTGATCTCTGGACGACTGAAGTGAATACTATTATGGAAATAGGATCAAAGATATCTCAGGAGCCATTGACATTCAACTAAGCGTCTCATTCATTAATGTTTTACCAGATTCTAACTCTTTTGCAATTTAAATAAGCCGGACGGAATTATTTTCTAATGTCAATCATTGCTAAAACGAGAGTCATAGAAAAATATTAGAGCATTTTTTCTAAGAATCTGAAGATAATGGATCAAATGGATTAAATCTACTTCCAGACAGTTTAATGTGTGGATTCCTCAATTCTGGGAGAGTAGAAACATTTGACTGATTTCGCGAGATTTGTAAAGAATCTATAAAACTTGTTTGAGCCGTCCTATTTCCAAGATTATTTGGTGGCCAGACTATTTATATGAGGGGCGTGGTCAGGACAATAATGGCAGTCAAACGGGATGTGGACGTGTAGGGCCAATTTATGACCGGAACTGCTTTATAGAGATTGACCGATTGAAGACCATTCCTGGTCAATTAACGGACAGGACTTGGGACTTTAAGGGACAAAAAATAAAGGTTTTTGAAGCACAATAGATAAGTGTTAGACGGGAGGCTTTTAGCATGTTGAACTGAGGTTATTTTGGGATTGTTTGGTGCTATTTTTTTCGCTTCCGTTGTAGCTATCCTGATTGCTGACACCTTGGAGGTTTCATTCATTACTACAAAATTTTGTAACATTATTTGCTTTTTTTAAGGTAATCAGAAAATTATTCTTTTTACCTTTCTTCGACCATTAAATGTTTGTTGTTGCACTTCTAACAGGACGAACCAAACATCTCGAGACAGTGAAAACAATTTATAAATATACTAGCAGCAGTAACAAACTCACTCAAAGCACTTGAATATTTAAAATGTCTATTTAAAATAGCGAGTCTCATTCGCAAGAATGTTGAACAACAAATAGTTGAATCCTTTATAAAGCCAAACTTCGTTACCATGTCTTATGCATCTCTTTTCATTGTCTTTCGGTAAAAATTAATTAGTTTCATATATTTTGTGTGATTTATTTCAATATTTCGAAATTCAAATGCGAATGTGTATTTCTTTCAACAAAATTAATAATCACTTAATATTCGTTTTATTTAAAATTTGAATATTTAAATGTGTTTATTTTCATCTTATTAAATAAGTGCGTTTAAGTACACCTATACTTCTCAGGTTCTCTTTTTTATCAAAATACAGAATCATTTGATTTCAACCAAACATTTAAAAGTTTTTAGTTTCTCTATAAATAGTCCCAAAATGTCTTCTTAACTACACGTCACTTGAATCAAAAAGATAAACATTACAGTAAATGTCATCATAAACATAATCTATCCCTCTCACATCTCATAAAAGAGAAAAGGAACGAAACAGTCGACGATACAACAAGATCCAAACATATCAGATTGATTCTGAACATCAATGTCTATGTTTACATCTCGGAAAGGCTATCGATGACAAGAAATCTCGAAACGTTTAAATAAATATCATGTATCGAGATAAAAATTACACTCTTTATAAGCGACGATATTATAAATGATAGAGTTATTGCACCTAATTGGCGGAGGATTTCGTGTTACACACCAAAACAATAGTGAACCACACACGACGACCAATCACGACGCGATAACGCCTTTGTCTCTACTTCAATAATAATGGTTTTTTCTTCGATGATTTGTGAAGCCAGGACGTTCACAATGAGGACGGAGTGGGATGCGGGCGGCTGAATGGTGCTTTTATTGTGGCCGTGAGCTTTTGTGGCGACACATGTGCGACCCAAGTTACCAACACAATTTACACGCAAGTGGACGCTAACGGAATCTAACTATTCACAAGAGAGCATTCTTCTCCACCTAATAAATATACAACAAGATTATATAAGATACGGCAGATAAAGATTAGATAACTCACCGATAAATAATGATCCCCTAGTATAATTAGATACGAACATCGAAGCAGTGAATGGCCACAAGATAAATGTAACAACAAAAAGAACAGCACGTGGAAATCGAGGCAACAACGCCAATGATGCAAAACAACAAACTAATGCGACACGCAGCGCGTACCAAGCCGGAGCTAAAAAGGTTGAAACAGAATTAATAGGCGAAGTGGCGCGATACCTATACATCAGTTCAAAGGGTTCCAGTTAATGAATCAAACGACAGGCGACTCGCAACACCTCTTTTGTGGCAGGACAAAATTGACTTTGACGGAGCGAACGAAGCCAAAATAACCGATCGTGTCCAACCCATTGTGCGTGCTATAATTAGAACGCTTGGAAATAAACACGTGGTGGCAATTATCGCAGCAAAGGGTTAAATGAGGCACCGAGAAACGGTCGTTAATGGGTACACCCATCCGGCGACGAAATCCTTCGCCACGGACCGTGGATAAAGGATTACTGGACTTCCGAGAAAGCGGACGTCTTTATACAAGCAATTTCATACCCGATCTTACATTCACCATAACGAGTTGCACAACTGATATAAATAAGACGTAGGAAATAACGAGTTTATCGAACGGGGATGGAACCTTTAAGTTAATGCTGACTTCAGCTCGAAATATCTTCCCGTGTGAAGATTTAAGAGGCATTTTCATTATGGTTCTGTTATCCATCAGCCAACTGTTATTGATACTTTAACTGGCACTGGAGAGCTAAAATATTACCACTTAGGTAAAGGCATAAAGGTGCATATATCAACATCTTGGCTAAATTCCGAGTACTTAGTAAATTAACATTTTAAAATTTCGTGGCGCAGTAAGGGTTAAGTCGAGGCGTGCCTTGAGGCTCGGTACTGAGGCATTAATCATTTCAGTCGGCCGGCTCGGCCCGGCCGCCGCCATACATCACGCTCCCTTTGAGCACAGCAAGTAACTCATTTGTTGAAACGCACCGTCCTGCTTTTATTAACGTCCATCCTAACATTGTAAATGTCTCAATCCTTTTGACGACTTCCTGCTCATCACTCGTCACCGCATCGATTCAGGTGCCGATCCAACCTTTTTTGGTGTTTACGACGTCATTTTTATATCGCCCTGTTACGGAAGATTAATGTTGTCGTCAAATCAGCCGGCTCACGGTGTCCGATGTTTTGCAATAAATTATCATTAAGTAACACGTTGTCTCACCTGGACGGGGTTTTATGGTCGGCCGGCCGTAAACCACAGTTAATACGCCGGCTCTAATCTAATCTAAAAGTTTTCTACCTGCTCCCGATATAAATTCCCCGGCAAGACGTAAAAAGCGAAGCCGGAGTAAAGGCAATATTACTAATGGGGCCGAGCATATGCATAAAGGTGCACAAGAAACAAATATGAATTTTATTACTGATAATGCAGTTACAGTTTTAATTGAAACCGAATACAACAAAGTGATGTTTTGGATTACAGTTAAGTTAAAAAGGTAACATACGCAATTATGTAATAAAAAGGTTTCGCAGCATGTAAAATGTTTAATGAACCACTCTATTTTATGGAGTTGGCCAATAAACGTGGACGACGGTTAGGAGCAAGCGTGTAACGTGAAGCGATCGTAATATTAAAGGACACTTGCCTTGCAAGCGAATCATAATAAAATTACATATGTAGATGGATTCTTCTGATACGAAAGCGCTCCGTCGTTCGGATGCTAGATTATGATAAGCGAGGTACTAAAACCTTGATAGAACTGAGTGTGCTGCAAATTGCAGTATTTAAGACGAAATATTAGCAAATGTAATAAAGATGAATTGGCAAACGCTTGGTTTGCAAGCCGTGAACATATAACGCGTCGCATTAATAAAACATTGCGATTCCATCTTCTTAAATGAATGATCATCAATAATATCTTTATTACTCCAGTTAATGTTGCGGAGTCAATAACTACAATATTAATTTATGTGCTTCTGTTGTGTCTTGTGTTCGTTTGTTCTTTTATTTTTCCATATTAATATGAACATTTTTAATAACAATTTTAATTGCATATTTTCAGTCTTAACTGTTTTTTATTAGGGAAGAATATTAATTGAAAATATCACTTACTGGGCATGATGATGATAATGTGTAGCGTGATGCATAGCCGTAGTAGGAGTGCCAGGTGGGGTTGAAGCATGGAAGGCTGCAAACGCCGAGGGGAACTGTAGTGGTAGGAAACCACTGCCTGCACTCCCAGGACCTCCCACCGACTCCCGATCAGGCATTATTTACAGTCCTAACACTGCGACATCATAGTCCTTCACCACTAACAGTCAACACTTCATCACTTTCTAGAAGTTCAATCACAACCACTATTATATCTTTAGCACCGTTTATAAAATCTTCTGTCAGGTCAGTTCCAACCTTATCCCGTCCATCTTTAACACCAACGTCATTATGTACTTATAAATGATAATTTTGAGCATCGTTGATTACAGAACGTCGTATATTGTCCAAATGGTCTCCCATGTTTCCGGTTTTTGCTTCTGAAACAAAGAAATAATTACTGTTAATTATATTTTCGCCTTTAAATTCGGTAGCTGCATCGGAATTGCTAAATTAGAATGTTTTGTACGGTTAAACAACAAGTGTGAATGGGATCGTGTTAAGATTGCGTGCTTGTGTGTTGTTACTTCAATTGCCACCATTATGTCTTCATTTTACGAGCCCGCAAGACGAATTACCCAGTTCGTATTAAGTTGTTTGTAACTAATGTACGTGTTTAGACTATTTTATAGCAATATTGTATTGTGGTTGGCGTTAGTTTGGCACTCATTAACTAGCTTGTTTATTGCTTCTACGTTAACTATGGTATAGTTTGTGTGTTCGTAATTGCTACATATTTGGTCGCTACAGGTTTGTGTTCATTTGATATATTAGCATACAATTCATTTTAATGTTCTTCATTATTAGCTATTTCAACTACGAGATTTTGTTTAACAATATTGATACTGCTTTTTGAGTTTATTGAATCTTAATTTATCCTATTATTATCAACATTCGTTTATTGTTTGTTTACTATCTTAAGATAATTTACTAGTTGGTTTAGGTAACTGTTGTGCAAACTTGGCGCGTAACTAAACCTACATAGTTTCATGTTAATTAAGTTTATAATTTGCATGGGAAATGACACGATTGACACGTAAACATACATTAATTCCTATCGATATACGCTCCTTTTCATTAACTTTACTTCTTATGACTACTTACTGTATTCTAAGTAGCTATTAATACTGTTATTAAATTTGTAATTAGTATCTAACTAGTAGGGAATTTCTAGTAGTATTTCATTTCGGGTTTTAAACCAGCATATACTGATTACCATGTTCACTTGTTTCTGTGTCTATTTTACTGTTACTATAAGTAATTTCAATTATAATCGACTGATTATATCAAAGCTTAACTTTGGCTTCATATTTTCTACACTTATAGAAAAGTCAATGTTATACAATAACGCAACTAACTACGTCTATTGACTTGTCTATTTACTCTGTTTGATTAGGGTTTATGTCATTTGTCTTGGGCACGCTAGACCGTTAATCTATTCGTATACTGCATACGTTCATCGCAAAGTTCAAGTAAATAACCTAGGCACTAAAAATTAAAGTGAAAATGACTATCTTTTAGTTCATTCGTGGCTAAATTATAAACATCCGTTTGAACACAGTTAACTATAGCAATTTTTGAATTAGTTAAACTATTATAACACGTATCAATCAGGGACGTACTGTAGTAGCAAATATCATACAGACATACACATCACATCATGGTCATCCCCGAAGAAGTAGGCAGAGGTGCACATTACAGCACTTAATGCCACTGTACAAATGTAACACCCTCTGTTTATTATTTACTAGCTTCTGTCAGCGGCTTCGCCCGCGGTCCCAGGGGTAAAATGCCTATGTATCACTTCAGACCATAATCTACCTCTGTTCCGAATTGCATTCCGGTCCCTTCAGTCGTTTTAATAAGACTGAGTAACAAACATACACATAAACTCACATATTTTCATTTATAATATTGAGTCAAGCTAATTTCAACCATTGGTCTTTCAGTTACAGCGTAAAGTCTATGAATGAGTATTGTAAACGTTAGAGTAGACAAATACAATCAGAAATCACCGAATTGCTAAGCTATCGGGAGTTTCACGTGTTATTGTGAGTCAACCATAAAAGATAGACATATGCTGTCGAGGAATATTTTTTATATAATTTCAAGGAGAATATTTCCGTTATACATGATTTATATGTAGCTTTAACCTATAAGCCAGCACACGTGACGGAAGCTTAAAAAATGGAGTAACTTCTCCCGTTTTCCCAATATTTCCCTTCACTGCTCTGCTCCTATTGATCGTAGCATAATGAAAAGTATACTATAACCTGCCCAAGAGTATGAAGAATAATTGTGCCAAATTTCGTTAAAATCCATCGAGTAGTTTTTGTTTCCATAACGAACATACAGACAGACAGACAGACAGACAAAAATTTTACTGATTGCATTTTTGGCATCAGTAGCGATCCCTAACCACCCCTTGATAGTTATTTTTTAAATATATTGTATGTACAGAATTGACCTCTCTACAGATTTATTATAAGTATAGATGTTATGAGTCACATGTATTAGGGGGTAAACGTATTGCCATTTATCGGGCACAATTCCAGGCTCCATGCTACTACTGAGAATTTTTATTTAAGCCCAATAGTTCTTTGCCTGACCCGGGAATCAAACCCCAGACTCCTTGCCCAGTCACACTTGCGACCACTCAGGCAACGAGGCTGTCAGATATCTACCTACCTAAATTAAAAATATCTGTCATTCTTCAAATGAAAGTAGGTCTATTATTACCAACATGTTCTTATGTCATTATGATCATAAGGATGATTGTACTGAAAAAAGATTTTTACTCTATGTCGCTTATATATGTTCTCAGTTACCCAAATAAACCTGGGCAAGTCCGACCCTGTTAACAATTCTTCCTCATATAATTTCTTTTCGTTCGCAGTCGTGAGTATCATTACTGTCACGAACCTCTACACTATTCGTTTCAACTAACTACGTCTATTCATCTGTTGTTTTGTCTAGAACACGCACTCCACGACCTGGAGGAATTTCTGAAACTTATTTTCTATCGTTTATTAAATTACTATCTAGTTCAACTTCATCTGGCTCAAACGTATTTTTGCCTTAAATGTCTAGTTCTAAGATTCTTTTATATTTACCAGAATTAGTCTTAGAGAAGAATTAAACGTAGTTTATTATAGACAATACACAATTTCTTCAATAATAAGTGTGAAACCAAATATCAGGCACTCAAGAAAGCCTTCCGAGGTTTCTCCGAAATACTTTTTGTTATTAACATTCCTAACAGTAGTAATAGCAATAAGTCTTGAATTGTCTTTAGTATTAGCAAAAGACTAGTCTTCAATTACAACAGGTCTAATTACACAATTAACAATAGGCCAGTGTAAGTTCACCTCTGCTTACTCATTTGAGTTATACTAAGCATGATGTTATGCCCCTCTTTGGTCCAGATCCGGTTTTCTAACCTAAGTATCTGTATGATATTTCCATTCGATGTCGCGACCTAGTTTGTTTTTGCAATTGATGTCTGCTTTGACATCGCTAAGGTTGATTTGATGTACTGAAATATCACGGATTTTGTGCTGGTTAATAGTTACTATAGCGATGTGTTTATGGCTAAATAACTAAGACTTTAATACCTAGTATTCTAGTAGTTATTCTATCGAATATCGCAATCTATGTTATGGGGACGTTCAGGTAAGATGACAGCTATTTCCTGGCTTAATGACCAGGGCCTTGTATACGTTGCAGACTCTGAGTGCATTACATTCGAAAATAAAATCATAAGAAAATCTCACCGAGTAATGAAACCTTCATGCTAGGTTGGCAAATATTTCTTTATCCTTATAAGTCACATCAGTATTACTATAATTAAATAATATTTAAGTAATTAAACAAAGAAGTCTTCATTACCACTTCTGCGTTTACCCTTTAGTCTTCTTAATTACTCTAAAAATTACGTGGACATGGGAATCGGCCCTAATTACCACTGAATCTCGACAAGTCGTGGTGACAAAAACTCGAATGAGGCCGGGCGACAAATTGAGAGACTCGTACGAGCAGCGACTTGCCATTATCACTTACGAGGAAAATTGGTGTGGTGCGAGTTGTAGCGGGAATGACTATTTAAAAAAAATAAAGGCGACGAATGGAGAACATCGATCGTGATTCTTCGTCAGTTAGTAGACAATGTAATGCAATTTTTTTTTCTGGTACATTAGATAAACTCATTAAAAAATCTAATGATACTTTGCTCAATTTATCGATCGACTTGATCAATCCAATAATTATTATGTTCGACCAATGAGTTTGTTTAATTACGTTGCAAATAAACAAACAATAACATTACAAATAAAATATAATTGATTTTCACAAGGCCACACAAAATGACGCAATCTCTAATCGCTTCAGCTTATCACTAACACCCTATCAAATAGGTTGCCATCGGAAAAATTCCTTCCGTAATTAATGAAGATGTGATTGTTAGGGACGTGACTCGAGTATTGTCCTCAATAAGGCCACGACTTATACTCGAGTAATGAATCGATCGTAAAATCCGATATCGATATATCGATACTCATTTTCATTCAATGAGATTTACGATGTTTATGCATGCAAAATTGGCGGGCGTTTCGAGTGTCGACTTTTATCGGCTATTCAAAAATCGAATTGTGAATTTTGAATTTCGTATGCTCTGGATTAATGGCGAATTTTATTCTTATTTGCCGCTTTGTAAAGTGTCAAGTGATTTCCAAGTTTTTTATATCAATCATAACTTTCGCAATGTTTTATATTTGGCGAGCGAAAGTAATAGAGGTGACGCCCACACAATTATTGATAACGAATCCTTGTGTTGCAATGAATATAAATACTTTCCAATAACTACAATGCTTGCTTGTGTAATACTATTGGCAATACCATAACAATCTAAGGTCCTGTTGAATTGAGTTCTCTGAAACAAAGACTTGTGACATTTGACTAATAGCATTATATCGAGGGGTAACGGGCTATTTGGTTTAAGCGACATTTTTGCAACTTTACAGGAGAGCCTTTTAAAGATTGAAATTTCGAAAAAAAATTCGTAACAAAAACGCTTCTGCAGTTATTTGAACGGGGTAAATTGCATTGAAATTTAAATTAAATT